ACTCCAAGGCCAAACTTGCCTGTTACTCCAGGTATCTCTTGACTTTCTCTTTTTGCATTCTAGTCCCCTGTGATGAAATGGACATCTTTTTGGAGGGTTAGTTCTATAAGGTCTTGTAGGTCTTCATAGAACCGTTCAACTTCAGCTTTTTTTGGCATTAGTGGTCAGGGCATAGACTTAAATTGCTGTGATATTGAATGGTTTTCCTTGGAAATGAACAGAGATGATTCTCTTTGGAAAGACCTACCAGGCCATAAATCAACATGTTGAAAGGTCTAATCTCTGAATGCTGGAAATGTGAAATGTTTATTTAGAAACACTTTCCTCATCTGTGTTTTCTATTTATTATGAGTGCACATGCTTCTACTATTATAATAAGAGCTTGTCTTCAAAGTGGCTATTGAAGAATAATGTCTTATAAAGTCAGCTTTTGGTGGTAGATGAGGATGACTCCTGGTGTGGGGCCAGGCATGGCGAGACAAGGGGCTGAGTACCTTGAAGGTTTAAGTAGAGTGACTGATAATACAAAGCATCAAAGAATAAAAACCTTATCTTTTAACTGATAGTATTTAAGATAAATTTATTAACTTGTGTGATTATGAGAAATTTACCTCCCTAATTATGTTTCACAGTGATAATAAAATTAGTTTCTCTTCTCAGATTATATACAGCTTGTAGTGGAAAGAGCTCAGAAATGAGCTAGGTGACTGGGGAAGCCAGCCTGGGATTTAAATTTTATAGAGACAATGCAGAGTTCATGGTATTAAGAGTTTGGCAGAAATCCCCAGGAGTTAAGAAATTTCAAACAAAGGCTGACAGGAGACAGTTGGCTGGAAAATGAAAAAGTCTGGTAGAGTTGAAGTGCATCGTATATTAGGATCATCAGCAATGCAATGAATTTTCATTGCCGAATAACTAAAGTTAGAAATAATAAAAACTGTTTTGGTTTCTTTAGTCCATATTTAAGCTTTAAAAATCACATTCTATTTGAACCAGCTATTGGAGTCCCATTTTTCTAGATTGGGGTTGGAAGAAGGATATAGAAATACTAAACTAGAAATTAGAAGCCAGAATAATAGCAAAAAACTGGAGATACTCAGGTGGTAGGGAAATCATGTTTGCCCTGAGAAAAGTATTCTGAAGCTACCCACCTACGTATTACCTGGGTAGTAGGTTCCAGGGTCAAGACCTAAAGTGAAAAATGGAATAATGAAAATTACCTTGAAAAAAAAATCTCTCTAAAAATTTCATGTTAGAGATTAATAGTGTTAATACAGCAGATTTTCCCTCCAATGTTAGAACAAAGCAACATTTCTTTGGTTGAGCCCCAGATACACTTGGCTTGTGTTTATGGGCCATGGTGTTTAGGGAGGAGACATGCTTTACACACTAGAACCACCCTCATCGTGGCCAAGGGTCCAAACTATGAGAGGCTGACTGAAGGGGGAGTGCATTCATAACATCCATCCCTTGTTTATGCCCACACTTAGGGTTCTTGTTCCCACATTTTACTTCTCCCTCCCCCATTTTTCTCTCTTTTTACCTTGTTTCACCATCTCTTCTGAGCACTCACATGGGTCCACTGTACCCATTTGGCTCCATAGTTCTCAGGTGGCTATTTTACATACTTACCAGATCCTCTTTGGTTTGGAATTGGTTGGGGGCCCGTGTTCTGGCCTGACAGGATTTACACTGTTCCTGACAGTACTTATGTTTCTGGAGCCATTTAGTCTTGGGGCAGCTGGGTCTGAACTGGGCTTGCAGGGTGTCCAGCCTGGTCTAGGTGCCTTTAAGATGTTAAGACCTGATATATCCAAATAAAACTATAATTTAAAAAGATACATACACCCCTGTGTTCATAGCAGCACTATTCACAATAACCAGGACAGGGAAACAACCTAAATATCTATCAATAGATGAATGGATGAAGAAGATATGGTGCATAATACACAATGGAATATTACTCAGCCATAAAAATAGAATGAAATAATGTCATTTGCAGCACCATGGGTGGAAGAAGAGATGATTATACTATGTGAGATAAGTCAGACAGAGAAAGACAAATACCATATGATATAACTTATATGTGGAATTTAAACTATGGCACAAATGAACCTGTCTACAAAACAGAAACAGACTTATAGGCATACAGAACAGACTTGTGGTTGCCAATGGGAGAGGGGAGAAGAGGAGGGAAGAATCGGGAATTTGACGTTAGTAGATGCAGACTTGGGTGGCCCCAAACGGCATGGCTTAGTTTCACTGAGTTAGACAAGGCTGTGGTCCTGTGATCAGATTGTCTAGTTTTCTATGATTATGGTATTAGTGTGTCTGCCCTCTGATGCCCTCTCGCAACACCTACCGTCTTACTTGGGTTTCTCTTACCTCGGACGTGGGGTGTCTCTTCACAGCTGCTCCAGTAAAGCACAGCCACTGCTCCTTACCTTGGACGAGGGGTATCTTCTCACAGCCGCCCCTCCTGACCTTGAACGTGGAGTAGCTCCTCTCAGCCCTCTTGCGCCCCACAGCAGCCACTCCTTGGAGGTGGCGTTGCTCCTCTCGGCCGCCGCCCCTGACCTAGGTAGGGCGTGTGGTAGCTCCTCTAGGCCGCTGCCCCTGTCCTCGGACCTGGGGAAGCTCTTCTCGGCCGCTGCCCCTGACCTCGGAGGTGGGGAAGCTCCTCTCGGCCGCCGCCCCTGACCTCGGAGGTGGGGAAGCTCCTCTTGGCCGCCGCCCCTGACCTCGGAGGTGGGGAAGCTCCTCTCGGCCGCTGCTCCTGTGCTGTCGCAGCCTGGCGCTCTCGGTCGCTACCCCTGACATTGGGCTAGGGGTAGCTCCTCACGGCCATGCTTCTGCGCGGTCCGTCGCAGCCGGCGCGCTTCTGCGCGGTCCGTCGCAGGAGAGGTCTGACAGAATGTGGTCCACTGGAGAAGGAAATGGCAAACCACTTCAGTATTCTTGCCTTGAGAACCCCATGAACAGTATAAAAAGGCAAAATGATAGGATACTGAAAGAGGAACTCCCCAGGTCGGTAGGTGCCAAATATGCTACTGGAGATCAGCGGAGAAATAACTCCAGAAAGAATGAAGGGATGGAGCCAAAGCAAAAACCATACCCAGTTGTGGATGTGACTGGTGATAGAAGCAAGGTCCGATGCTGTAAAGAGCAATGTTGCATAGGAACCTGGA